ATTTAGTACTAAATTTTTGAGATGTTTCAAGTCCTTCATCAAATTGAATAGAAGTTTTGTATCTTGTCATGATTTATAACCATCTTCTCAATCTTTTTTTTTTAAATCCTAACAGTGGTGCATGTGTGGAGTGTCGAGACAAAGACAAAGAGACTCCTCTATCCATTGCTGCTGGTAAGAATCATGTGGAGGCTGTCAGACTACTGTTGGAACATGGTGCTGATGTTATATCTAAAGACGTTGATGATTGTACACCACTATTTAGGGCAGCACAAGAAGGATCTTTTGAGGTTATTGAGGTGAGAGACTCTGAGTGATTGATTGATTGAATAAATGAGTGATTGACTGGTTGGTTGGTTGGTTGATTGATTGATTGATTGATTGAATGATTGATTGGTGGTCTTACTGATTGACTGAATGATTGATGGATGGATTGATGTAATGATTGATTGATTGATTGATTGATGCTTTGAATGAATGATTGATTTATTGATTGATTGATTGGTACACTCACTGATTGACGGAATGAATGATGCCTTGAATGATTGATTGATTGATTGATTGATTGATTGATTGACTGACTCACTGATTGTTTGACAGACTGAATGTATGATTGATTGATTGCTAGTGACCTTTCTACCTTTGCAGTTACTGCTCAACCATTCAAAAGGTAAAGCATTAGTCAAAGAGGGAGACAAGAATGAGAATACACCCCTCCATTGTGCAGCAGAGAAAGGCTATGTCCGCATTATCATTGTAAGTTGTTTTACTTCTGTTTATTGTCTCAGTCAAGTGTTTACTGATCAATGCATGAATAAAGTTGTTAGACTAACAGCATGATATTTTAGAAACTCCTGGACAATGGTGCATGTATTGACAGCAAGAATGACGAGGGTGCCACGCCCTTGCACTTAGCTGCTATGCATGGCCGAATAAGGTAACACATAATGTTAATGATAATGATATATATAATATAATGTATAATATTATAATATCAATTATATTAATCAATATTTTTATACCGTAATGATTATTGATTATTATAATACAATATATTTTGTTAATAATGTTAATAATGTGATAATGTACTTTGCATTTTTCCTTTGATTAATGACTGTTAGAAATTAATATTAGTATTAATTACAATAATAACTAATGATAATGATTTTATTACTTGCATGGACAAATTCCCATATGAATATGATCAAGTGCGCCTGTAACAAAGATATAATAAAAATGTTCTTAAAAAATCCAGTTAACTTGTGTCTATRGATATTTACAGAACTGTGTGTGCTTTATTGAATAATGATCCTTCCATCATCAATGATGAAGATGATGCTTCCAACACGCCTCTCCACTTGGCTGCTTTACGGGGATACTCTGTAGTTGTAAAGGAGTTATTAGACAGGGGTGCTGCCATTGATGCAAGGTATGTCCTTAGGGAGAGAAGGGTGGGGAAAGGTATGTCTGTGCGAAAGAGAAATAGACGAAATAATGGAGAAACGTAATTCCCTTGTGCCACGTTTAATAGAACATTGCGTTGTGTACCGTAAAGTAATATGAGATTACATATATGTGACAAAAAATGATTGACAAGTTAA